GGACAGTGTAGAGGGGAAGGAGAACCTCTTCGTCTTTCTTGAACTGGGCCCCACCCAGAGACACATGGGTTTGGGGGCCCACCACCTTGAGGCACCTGGTCATGCGTTCCCACCACCCCAAGCCATGGAGTTTTTGGTCCCACCACCTTGAGACACGTGGCTATGGGGTCCTAACATCTTGAAACACGTGATCATGTGGTCCCATCACCCTGAACAACCTAGTTCTGGGGTCCCACCGCCCCAAGACACATGGTTATGGGGTTCCAATACCCCAAGACACATCGTTGTGGGGCCCCAGCACCCTGAGACACATGGTTTTGGTGTCCCCACACCCCAAGCTATGTGGGTTTGGGGTCCCCAGTCCCCCACTTGGAAGTCTTTCCTCTTGATGTTGGGCACGTCCGTCTTGTGGGTGGAGGGGCAGATGTCCTCGTACTTCTTCCCGGTGAAGATGTCAATGCCCACCAGGTAGACCTCGGTGGGGGGAGGAGGAGGATGAGAAGGAGCTGGAGGAGCCCTCCGGGTGGGGTTTGGGGGGCAGGGGGAGTTCCCTGCTATCTTGGTGTGGCCATGCTTGCCCGTCTTGGAGGTGGACATCTCGACGATATTGCAGGGCCGGCCCTTGAGGACCACGAAGCCGTTTTTACGGAGGCCAAGCACTGCATGGGCAAGGTGGCCAAGACCCCCTGCGTCCGCCGTCTCGAAGTCCAGGTCGTCCGCCATGCCGCTGGCTGTCCACACGACTGCGGGGGAGGGGGATGCGGTGAGGGATGGGGGCATCTCCGGGGGTTGGGGGCATCTCCAGGGACCTTCCCCTAAGAGTTGGGGACCCTCACAAGGGGGTTGGAGGCATCTCCAGGGGGTTTCGGAGGGCACTGAAGACCCCCCCTAAGAGGCTGGAGACTCCTTCAAGGGCATTGGGTACATCTCCAGGGGTTGGGGACCCCCTCAAGGGGGTTGGAGGCATCTCCAGAGGGTTGGGGACCTCTCCAAGAGGTTGAGGACATTGGTGGGGACCCCCCAAAGAGGTTGGGAACCCCATCAACGGGGTTGGGGACATCTTCAGGGGGTTGGGGATGGCAGTGAGGACCCCCCCCAAGAGGCTGGTGACCCCTTCAGGGGGGTTGGAGGCATCTCCAGGGGGTCGAGAACTCTGCCAGGGACCTTCCCCAAGAGTTGAGGATCCTCTCAAGGGGTTTGGGGACATTGGTAGAGACCCCCCTAAAGAGGCTGGGACCCTCACAATGGGGTTGGGGACATCTCCAGGGCGTTGGGGACATCAGTGGGGACCCCCCAAAGAAGCTGGGGACCCTCACAAGGGGTTGGAGGCATCTCCAGGGGGTTGGGGGCATCGGTGGGGACCCCCGCAAGGGGGTTGGGGGTATCTCTAGGGGTTTGGGGACCCATTGTGGGAGATGGGGACAGCAGTGGGAAGGACCTGAGGGGGTTGGAGGCATCTCCAGGGGGTTGGGGACTCTGCCAGGGACCTTCCCTAAGAGTTGTAGATCCCCTCAAGGGGGTTGGAGGCATCTCCGGGGGGTTGGGGACATCGGTGGGGAGTACTTCAGGGGGCGGGGGACCCCACCAAAGGGGTTGGGGACATCTCCAGGGGGTCGGAGATGGCAGCAAATACCCCCCCCAAGAGGTTGGGGACATCTCCAGGGGGTTGGGGACACTGGTGGGGACCCCCCAAAGACGTTGCGGACCCCCTCAAGGGGGTTCGGGACACCTCCAGAGGTTGGGGACCCCCTCAAGGGGGGGTGGGGACACTGGTGGGAACACCCTGAAGAGGTTGGGGACATCTCCAGGGGGTTGGGGACGCCCCTAAACGGGCTTGGGGACATCTCCAGGGGGGTAGGGACATCGGTGGGGACTCCCCAATGAGGTTGGAGATGCCCCCCAAGGCCCGGGGACCCCCCTAAGGGGGTTGGGGACATCCCCAAGAGTTGGGGACCCTGGTAACGACCCCCCGGGGGGGGTTAGGGACACCTCGAGGGGGGTTGGGACCAGTTTTGGGGTCCGGGAGGGAAGGGGCACCCCCACGTGGCACCCACGCTGCTTCCCCCAACCCCCTGCCCCGGGCCTGTC